TGAACATGCGTGTAAATAGTCAAACCACGAATACGGATACTTATTTTAGGAATGCTCACGCACGTGCGAACTTTACCTAAATGCAAGTCATACATTAAATTTATTTTAAGGAACTGAATTTGAACGTTCCCGAACTCGCGTGCGAGTTCAAGTTGAGAATTTTTATTTATATTCTTTCTATTAATTTGCTATGGAATTTAATCAATTTAAAACTTATCAGAAGTCTTTTTTAAACGAAATATATTCTGCGGTACGTTTTGTACAATGTTGTAGTATATTTTATCCTTTTATTATAATGTTAAATGAGTCTGTACTATTAATGATTGTTTATAACCTGTTTATGTGCTCTTCTTATATATTATTACATATATATATATACATATATATATATATATATATATTATATATTCTAAAGATATTTTTAAAGTTAATTTTTTATTATTTGAAATTATTTTTTCTACGATTACTCATCATACTTTTTAATCATTGAGAATTTTAACATTCATTTGTCCATTATTGTTAAATGAAAGTGCGCGCATGTACTTTAAAAGTGTTGTATAATTTTTAGGAAATCCAACAGAATGAAAAACATATTAAGAAGTGGACCCAATATAGAGATAGGCATAAGCAGATTATTGAAGGGTTAAAGATGCTTTCACTTGAATTGTCAATGAATTGCATTGTACCTATAGGAAAAAGGGCATTAATGAAGGGTAAATTAAAGCATACCAGTGAAATTCTTACTTGTATAGGAGATGGATACTTTATTAAATATACTACTCAACAAGCAATAGCATTATGCAATCGCAGAATAAAGCGTAAGATTCAGTAATATAAGTTATTGTTCTCAAATATAATTGAAAATTGATTGTTTGAATGGGTTTATTGTGCATATTATACTTGACTCAATCGAATATTAATTATTCGAATAATGTATTATTTTCGATAGATTCAGAAGAAATATTAAAAGATTTTGAACAAGAAAGAAATTTACTTGAAACTCGACAAATGTTACCGCTTGTCTTTGATGCATTTGAATTCAATAATTGTGAGAATGTAGTTGAACACTGGGATGAAAAAAGATTAGAAGATTGGAAAGGTAAATTTTTTATCTTCAGAATATTATTTTTCGTATTCATAATTACTTATGTGTGTAATATTTTAGTGTTACACAAAAAAAAAGAAAAAGAGTATAGACAAAAGTTAATGAAATTGAAATGTCAAAAAAAACAGAAAATTGAAACAGAAGATGATCTTTTTAAAAGACTTGATCAGCTAGAACTTGAGGAAGAATTGGCGGATGAGTTTAATAGGTAATATTTATAAGTATATATATCTCTATAGATGGAGTGTGCTCTTGTACATATACAAGTTTCAACCTTTTTATAAGTAGTTATATTACTATTTCTTAATATTCAGATTGGATGAAGAGCATCAACAATTTTATGGCGAACATTTACAAGATAATAAAATTCAACCAGAATTACAGGAAGATATGGATGAAGACTCTAGTGAAGAATCCAATAAAGAAGAACGTGAACATGAAAATAAAATATATTTAAAATATATGCAAGAAAATAAAGTGGATAAAATCGAAACAGCAATTGAAAATACAGAAAGAACTCCTGATAAAGATAATAAGATAAATGGAAAATTCGAAGTATCTATTATTAAAGAAGATAAAGCGAATAAATTGTTAGATAAACTTAACTTATGTATAGACTCCGTTTCCTCTCATTATCAATCAGGTGAAATTGAGAGACAAAAACTTAATAATCAATCTACCGCGACACAAAACCTATCGAATGATGTACCTTGTTTGGAGAATGATGTTGATATTGAGAAATCCAAAGGTTTTGTCAAGAGAGTTTCTTTTGCAGAACCACATTTTGTAGAAGTAGCATCTTTTTCTCATGAAATTAATGAAAACAATAAAGAAGAACAGTTAGTAAATGAATCTGATATTGATAATGATACTATAAAAATCAATTTTACACCCTCCGAAATAGAACCTTCAATTTGCAAAAACAATACTGAAACTAAAATAATGAATCCGGATGATATTTATAGAATATTTTGCAAACCAAAATCCATACTTAAAAAGTCGCCTGATAACGAGGATTTTAATAAAAACACACGATTAATTGATGAAAGCATCAAAGAACAAATTACTAAAGATATTGAAACTGATCAGATAGCAAAATCTACTTATAATTTAGTAAGTATTAAAAACGTACAATAATTTATTTATAACATCTTACAATATTGGTAGGAAAGCAAGTTTATAACTGTAAAAAATTATTAAAGTTAAATTTGTATTGCTAAAAACTTAAAAGTTATAGAATAATTAGTTGACAATATTCTAATATAAAGCAGCATATGTTAAACTAATGCAGCATAACAATTTCAGGTAGTTCAAGATGTTCAGAACAGGAAAATAGAAGAAACAGTTACGGAATATAAAGAATCAAATAACCAAAATAGGCCAATAAGCAGATTTAAGCTTGAGCGAGCAAATCTTAAAAAAGCATTTAAATGATGTAAAACACTGTTATCGTTAACATTTCCATTACTCTTTATAAGAGATTTTATATAATAAGAATAATGTTAAAAAATATATTTACATTTAAGGTAAACAAAATTACTTGGATTATAATATTTTTCATACAACTGTCATTTAGTATTATTTATTTAATGTTTTTAAAAAATTTATTTCTAATATTTGTAATATAACAAAACATGCGAAGATACACTGGTCTTTAATGTCTAAACAGATAGCTTGCAAGAAGTGATATTTTTATTATTATATAAATAGCAGCGATGATAAAAAAATGATTGAATTTGAATTTTTTATTTATTTAACATGTTTTCTTATATTTAAATTGATTTGATCATGACGACTTTGATATCTACAGACTACTTAACTCTATACATTAATATCAGAATTAGCATATTCTAATAATGACAATACATTTGAAAGTTGACTTTGGACAACGAGTCAGTAATGTATTACTTTCAATCAATTGTTAATTAGTAAATTTTTATTTAATTAATAATGACAGAATACGTTTTACATAACGAACACGTTGGAATTTTTTTAAGTATCCGTATTCGTGGTTTGACTATTTACACGCATGTTCATATCTATAAATACACATTAATTAATATCAATTTATATTGTCGTTTTCTATTAAGAAATATGTCATTTTATAAGTATATAGTAAAAATACAATTAAGTAAACGTATGTATTATTTTTTTTAACATTGGATAAGATCAATTAGAAAAAATGATTTCAGACAATTTCATTATAAAAATCTTATTTCTTTGTTACAATAAATAATAATTATAAACAAATTCTTTGTAGAATGCAATTATAATTGGAAAATATGAGATATATGATTAAAAAATATAATTGAAACATTCATTGAAGTATTCAATATTTTTTAAATTGTTTACATTGTGATTATATAATTATTATGAAATTCGACGTTTTTTTTTTGCAAATATGTTTACGCATGCGCATAATGTAACAAAAGTTTTTTTCCTGATAAATTAATAAAATTCCATGTCTATCACGGTGTAATTAAAGTAAGGTAGAGTACCACTTTTTTAAGGAAAATATAATCAAAATGTTCGATATCTAAGAAAATATGGGTTTTTAATAATTCGTGAATACGACATAAATATTTCATTTTTAGGGAAATTAAAGATAATGCAATTAGAACCTTATCGATTTACAGCATTTATTTATTAATTTTTTTGTTTTTTTTTTCAATTCGAAAGAATAATTTTGCGTTGCTTGCAGTGTCATAATAATTAAAGCTTTCGAGTGATGGAAATTCACTATTAATAATGTTTGGCATATATAATTGAAACTGTAAAAATAAATACTGAAGGTTACCATAATTTTCTTTTATTAAATCATTTACTATTGCATTTTCTTCAAAATTATAATTATATTGCAAATATGTACTGAACAAAAAATCAGACAATATTGCATTTTTAAAGGTATGTTGATATTTACATACTAATTTTTTAGTACATTCATTATAAATATTACATACAGTATAGTAAATACAATCATTGTAAATATTTCTGGTTAATGCTAATGATTTATCATTTTGCAATTTTTCACCTAACGTATATTGATAAAGTTTACATTATCATTTAATAACAAAGCCACACTTTAATCTTTTAAATACGATTTAATCTTTTACAGAATTAAAAAAAAAAAAAAAAAAAAAAAAAAAAAAATAAA